GCACTGCAACATCCATCAGGTGGAAGAAGAACTTTTTAGTCCACTTCACAGACTTGCGCACGCACTCCACTCCACCAAGCATCATGTCACACTTATCGACGAGGCGCATGTTCACGTTATAGTCTATGACACAGTCTGGCTTATACACGGTGTTGCGTGTCTGAAAGTGGACTTTCCCACTGTCCAACATGGCACCGGTGTGAATCGTACTCCGCATATTCACCTCGCGTCTGTCCTTCCACCGCACTGACAGCGTATTGTCACACTTGCGCAGCTGGCACTCACCCACGGCTATAGCTATACCGAACACTGGCATTTCCTTCCTATGGCTCTTCACAGTGCCACATACGCCGGTGTTGTGGGCAAGGAGGTATCTGGTCAATAAGGGGCTGGTGTAATACTTGTCGGTGTACAGTACATGCCCCTTGTTCAGCAACGTTTCCATCAGGGTTTTTACAACACTGCCAGAGAACCCGTGTTCATCTTGAGCCGGTATGTCGACGTCTGTACCAGAATATAATATCATGTCCAAGACAATACCAGTCTCACAGTCGCATAGCACAAAAAACTTCAGTCCAAATCGGTGCCGCTTTGATGGAATGTACTGCTTGAATGCCAGTCGCCCCTTGAACAGTACAAGCGACTCGTCAATAACCACATTCTGTCCAGGTACAAAATAATCCCTGAACTTCCCTTTCATGTCACTGAATATCTTCCGTACTTTCCACAGTCTGTCGTGTCTGTCCCCATTTGCATTATTCTCGAAATGCAGGCACCTGAGAATCAAGAGATACCTATCACGCGACATGTACCGGTTGAACACAGGCGTTGGAACAAGGCTGTCTTTGCTCCAATATTCCTGGATGACAGCTTTCTCAGAGTGCTTCATCATCATGGTGAGTGCCAGAAACACGTACATTTCGTCGATTGTCGTGTCCTTCCATCGTGTGAGCCATGAGGCAGGTAAAATGCCTTCGTCTATGAGGCTGTGAGCGAACCTGTTTGTCTCAGTCACAAGATGCGTCATGAATACATTGTCAAAATATGCCTGAAAATATTCCATGTCTGCCATATCATCACCAGTATATGGGAATAATGGTGTAACACCAAAATCGCTATCATCAAATGTTGGTATTTGAGGGGCAAATGTGGTACAATCCTCCCACACAAGTACACCAGGGGGTTTGGTGTTGGCGCCAACACCACGGCCAACACCACCACGAGCACCAAAACTACGGCTACGTCGTCCGCTGCTTCTGCTGGAGCTGCGTGAGGGTATGCTAGGCGCTGAGGCAGATTTACGTACTGTAGACCTACCACGAATAAATGATGTTGAGGGGCCACTGTCGTTGTCCACATGCTGTGAGGCACGCTGCCGCCTGCCGCGGCGTGTTGCTGAGGTAGCAAAACCCCGCCTGGTAACACCACCACTGCTCGTACTCGAGTCGTCCACACTACTCGTATCGGAGCCAATGTCACTGAAGCCCGAGAAAGATTCGTCACATATACTATCACTGAATAAACTACTAGCGTCTGGGGACATACATGATGGTGGTGATGATAACGGTGTTGACCCAGGGCGGCGAGGCAGGCCGGGCGAGGCACGAGTACCCAACACACTCGCCACATCTTCCAATTCTGTCTCTTCCTCACTCGTATCAGATCTCTGAGTTAGGTCTTTATCTGGATCATAGTCCAGGTCATCATCCAGAGCACCGTCATCATACAAAATATCGCGTATTTCCTCCTCAGAGAGTCGTTTTCCATGACCGTGGGTCACCGTGGAGCGGGAGCTCGTAGAGGATGCGTCAGACATGGTTGCTGCCGTGAAACTGAGGCTCCCCACGGCCGCAGGGCATGCTGGGATTTTTTTTTAAGATGGCGGACGATCACTGGGGCCCCCACCCACCCATACCATACCCGCGTCACCGCGCGCCAGTTTTGAATGGAACGTGAAAAATCAAAATACCTGGAGGCGCGTTGCGCAAACCAGACGCGAGCCTGCAGGCGCGTTGCGCAGTTTAAGGGTTAATGCTGTCGAATCGATAGCTCTCCGAGTATATATTGGGGGAACCTAGTAGCTAACTCCGCCCACAAGTAGATAGCCTCCGGCTCTCTACCAAGCCACTCCTTAAACGTCGGCATCTTTGAAGGCTACCAGGCTCCAATTATGAGATTAGTAGAAGTAAGGTGAAATTCGCATGATCTGACCTCAGGTCACTTGGGGTCATTAACTCTTAAGAGGTGTGAGACTCAGGCCGACCAAGCTGGCGCCTTCTCTAATCCTTGTCTGTGACTCATGTACTATATATATTTTAAATAAACTAAACCAAACACTTTACAGTGTTACAAGGGTAAGAGCTACGAGGAGAGGTTAGAAGCATTAAACATGCCAAAACTAGAAGACAGAAGAAAAAGAGGTGATATGATCACTACATACAAAATAGTAACAGGAATTGATAAAATCGACAGGGAAGATTTCCTGAGACCTGGCACTTCAAGAACAAGAGGTCATAGATTTAAACTAGCTAAACACAGATGACGAAGAAATATAAGAAAATTCACCTTCGCAAATAGAGTGGTAGACGGTTGGAACAAGTTAAGTGAGAAGGTGGTGGAGGCCAAGACCGTCAGTAGTTTCAAAGCGTTATATGACAAAGAGTGCTGGGAAGACGGGACACCACGAGCGTAGCTCTCATCCTGTAACTACACTTAGGTAATTACACTTAGGTAATTACATCCTGCAACTACACTTAGGTAATTATACTCTAGTAATTATCTCTGATTGTGCAAGGATGTGGGAAAAATTTCCCAGCAGGACTTTATTTATTTATTAAATTATTTAATTTAGTAATTTTATTTTAATTTGTTACTGGTTTAAAGTGGACTGTATATTTAGAGTTATCATGCTAGGAGTTTCCTTTCACTATCTTGGGGGGAAGGTTTAATTATTGTTACGTCCACCTAGAGCCAGTAACCGGGTTCTTGCTGTTATGACCTCTTTTACTATATCCAACCCCAAGTCGGTAGTAAGCTTTCAAGAACTGGCTATATCCAGTTCAGTAGTAGTGCAATAAAAAATTAGGTGGGGGGGGGGGGGGTATAAGCAATACAAAATTTCCTTCACCAATATTTTATTTATTTATTTATATACAAGAAGGTACATTGGGTTTGTGAGAATACATTGCATGGTATTTACAATCTTGTAAAGCCACTAGTATGCGCAGCATTTCGGGCAGGTCCTTAACCCCTTAACTGCGTTGCCTCCAAATGTGACACCCCCGCAGTGCGCAGGAAATAAATTCTCTGGAAAAAATTCTTTTTTCTTTTTAAAGTGTCAAAAACCCTTCCCTCAGTATGGGTATGTGAAAAAAAGTCGAAATTGTACAGGCATACCTCAGAATGCGAGTTTAATCCGTTCCTGGAGACGCCTCGCCTTCCGAAAACTCGCATTCCGAAGTTAATTTCCCCATAAGAAATAAAGGGAAATGAATTAATCTGTTCCTGACTACCCCAAAAACCCCACATCAAACTAAATTTTTATACCTAATTTACCTAATTCATCTAAATAAACCTACAAAACTATGTTCCAGTTATTACTTACCTTGCTGTCGAGTGCTGTAGGCGTATGGAAGATGGTGAGGAGGGGGGAGGAGGAGAGGAGTTACTGTTTGGAAGGGGAGTCCCCTTCCATAATCACATCAGGCAGTGAGGACCTTTCTGGTGTGCTCTCCCTGGGACGTTTAACCTGAGTGCCACTAGGTCCTGGTTGAGGCTCACTGCTCGATTTCCTCACCACAAATTTGTCCATGGAAGCTTGCTTTTCCCTTCTTCGCAAGCTCTCTCTGTAGTAAGGCATCACATTGTCATTGAAAAGATTAAGACAACGGCCTACTACAGCTTTCTCTGGGTGAGTCTGTTCAATAGTTGTTTGAATCTCTTCCCACATCTGACACACCTTCTTAATTACTGCAGAAGGGACATTCGCTGGTTCGTCATACGTGACGATTTGACGCCGATCGGGCCGTTCGTTACCCAAAATGTTCGTCTTTTGGGGAGATCGTTATGCGAGGTACCACTGTATTTTGTTTATAAATAATTCTGAGATGCGAGGTGTTTTTTTTATCAGATACAGTCATCCGACTGTTTGTTTTACAAATTTTTATAGATAACTTATGATCTGTTGACGTGGCAAATGTCTCATTTTCAATGAGAAGCCACGAAATCCAAGTTTCTTTGAATGATACACTTAGCTAAATTAGTGGTTGGTGGTAATTGCTGTTGGAATTTCCGACAAAAGAAGTGTATGTATGCTTTCCAGCATTGATTTGCTTCTAAACACATGGATGGCAGGATATTACAAAAAAAATCACGACCTTTGTGGGACCAAAATTGGAATATGCAATGGTTGTATGATTCCCGTATCTCAAGAAGCTCATCAATATGCTGGAAAAGTTGCAAACCATGCAACTAAATGGCTTCTGGAACTGAAAAACAAGAGCTACAAGGAGGTTAGAGGTTTAAAATATACCAAAGCTAGAAGATAGAAGAGAAAGAGGAGACATAATTATGTGCAAAATAGTAACAGGAATCTACAAAATTGACAATTAAATTTTTTGGGGAAAACTGGAACTTGAAGAAAAGGGGGCTATAGATTTAAACTAAGGAAACAGAGCTGCAAAAAAAAAAAAAAAAAAAAAAATGAGAAGGTTCACTTTTGCAAGTAGAGTGGTAGGCAGTTGGGACAAGTTAAATGAGGTGGTGGTGGATGCTAAAATCATTAGTAGTTTCTAAGCATTATATAATAGAGTACTGGGGAGATGGGACATCACAAGCGTTACTCTCACCCTGTAACTACACTTAGGTAATTACAGACATACACACACAGTTCATAATATTCATACTGCACTTAGATTGTCTTAGTATTTTTTATGCTGATAACACATTTCACTCTGTATTTTCTTTCAGTATAACCTAAATTATAATAAACTTTTTTTCAGGGTGTTTACATGGTTGGTGCATGATATGGTTTACAACTGTACTACATAGCAACGGAATGGCCTCAGTACATCACAACCCCCCACACTTCTGTTATTAAAAGTGTTTTCATGTTGGTGGAAATCCAGTATTTTTAATATGTTGTATGTGTAGTATAGTGCTTGAGTACATTATATTTTCAGTAAATCTGGCAGAAAACTTATAATTTTAAGTAAATATATAAACAGAAAATGGAATTACTTGCTGCATTAGCCCATGATCGTGCATTGAGAAAAGAAAGAGTTTTCAAAGATCCTCTAGATCCATTAGATATTAGTGATGAGCACCTTTTAAAGTACTACTGTTTTCCACGTCACGTGATATTAAGGTTTTGTGATGTGCTAAAAAATGACATTGCTCGCATAACTAAAAGGTCCCGTGCTATTCCCTGTCATACAATAGTGTTAGTAGCTCTCAGATTTTATACAAGTGGTAGTTTACAAAGTGTTATTGCCGATTCGACTGGTTTAAGTCAGTCAAGTGTGTCACGAATAATAACCGAAGTGACTGATGCTTTCTATAGAAAAGCAGTAGCAGAAATAAAAATGCCAACAGAGATGTCTGAAATTATAGAAACAAAGGCAAAATTTGACAGCCTAAATGGGTTTCCAAATGTTATTGGTGCAATCGATTGTACCCATGTTCCCATAAGGGCTCCAAAAGAAAGAGAATACATGTTTGTAAATCAGCATAATTATCACTCATTGAACATTCAAGTTGTGTCAAATAGTGAACATTTAATATTAGATTTTTGTGCAAGATACCCTGGAAGTGCTCATGACTCCTTGATATGGGCCAACAGCAGACTTCGTAGCAGATTTGAGGCAGGAGAATTTGGCAGTTCTTATTTACTAGGTGAGTATCTTATCAAAATAATAAGTACTGATACAGTGTTTTTAACCCTTGTGTTGCTAAGGGCTATTTGGCCATTGTCACCCACAGGTGCATAACTACAAAAAAAAATTCTTCTTAACATGTTAATTTATGTTCCCTGATCACAGGAAAAATAAAAAATCGTAAGTGGCATATTTTGCCCGCTATAGGGTGGGGAAGTCTGGCAAAAAAAAAAAAAAAAGAGACGCTGACTCAGCGTGTGTCCGAGGCGGTCTGCCCAGCCCCAGCTGTCATGCAGGAGTGGCCACAAAGATATAATTACCTAATTATTTCAAAGTGTCTGATTGATTTTTCTTCGTGTTTTGCTGTAAGATTATTCAATAGTGTGTCGTGTGATATATTTATATAATAAAATGTGAATCATCGCTGTATTTAAAGTTATGGTGTGCATATTATTGATTCAATTATTGTGTTCATAAAACAATAAACAAATACTTTGTTGCTTATTACACTATATACACAGGTTATATATACGTATCTGCGTGTTTTGTTCACCATAACAAACCACTAAGTTGACATTGCGAGTCAAAAAGCAGCGAGGGGTGGCCACAACATCTGCCAGTCAGCCTCTCATCGCCACTCCCTCCCTCAATCACAACTCCCTCGCCCTCATCCTCTTCCCACCATACTGTTTTTGCTTTTATTTACTATATACAGACATTATATATAAGTATCTACATGTTCTGTTCACCATAACTGTTCATCTAAGCTGGTATATTGCCCTAAGAGCTTGGTGGCCACCCCCACCCATCAAGACAAATCATGTAGAAGTCGCCACCTCCTTCACCACAATGGCTTCTCCCCCACATTCCTTTTGCTGTTATTACACTATATATACACGTTATATTTAAGTATCTACATTTGTGTTCACCTTAATGAACCACTAAGTTGGTATGCTCAGTCGCAGTGGCAGCCAGTGGCAGCCCGCCACTGGCTGTCCCTCCCTCCCTCCCTCACATCACCTGATTTGCCACATTCGCCTCCCACCATACTATTTTGTGTTTTATTCACTATATACAGACGTTATATACAGGGGTACCTCGGTTTAAGAGTTTAATCCATTCCAGGAGACAGCTCGTAATCCGAAAACTCGTAAAACGAAGCTAATTTCCCTATAAGAAATAATGGGAAATGAATTGAAATATATTTACAAATTTCATTAGTAAATTAATTAATTTACACTATGACACTACATTAATTTGTAGTGTCATCTCCAGTTGCCACCGCTGCAAGCCAGCATGACTTAGTCTGGTCTCACCTCCCAAGCAAGCAACAACATTATCAGGGCTTCTTGCTCCCTGCTTGGGGTTATACATAAGTAACAATATACATATTGTGATTGGTGGCATTCATTTGCTTAACTCTTGTCTGGTGATTGTGCTAGACACTAAAATGGTGACCCTGGAGTTTACAAAATGCCCATCATTTTTACAGACAAGTGGTACATAAGAACAATAGCAACCATGATCAGGCTGCTAGCATACTTCATGACTGACTCTAGAGGCATGATTTGCAAAGACAGAGGCCCTCTTTGATGCCTTTAAGACCACCAATGACACATAGTAGTATATGTACAGCTTGGAAGATCTTTCCTTGGAAACTATTTCACAACCTTCAGAATTTGTAGCGTACACTGCCACTCATGCAACGATATGCCATCTTGCAGGCTTCCTTCCTCGTTTCATCCACAGTGTGTCATAAAATCCAATGACTTGCTGCTCAAATCGTACATAGTGTAGCCTCAGATACAGCTACTTCTTACGCTATCAAGTGGAGCATGTGACAGTGGCTTTTTTTAGTTTCATTCCTACAATGCTTGCCCCTGCACCCCCTTCCCTTTCCATCCCATTGCCGCATGAGGGAGCTTAGTGGCCTCCTCTGTCCTTTTAAAGCCTTATGCTCCTGCTGCTGTCTTCTCCAATTTTGCTGTTTTTTCTGGGGGGAACCCCGTCGGCTCCCTGGAGCTATCCCAGGCTGATATGCTAATGTCAGACTTTGGCATCAGTCATGTGTATGGAGTTCTTAGGCCTACCGGGGACCACGGCCAGAACCGGGCCCCCTCAGAGAGGCAAGGGGAGCAATGGCCTATAGAAGCCCCCGTGTGGTTGGAAGCATTCTATGTCTGCCATCGACCGGAACAGGCACCCAGAAAGGTAAGCGCCTCAAAACAAACCCCTATTCTGGTTAAAATTGCTACCAAAAGCCGAATTAGTGGATAGAACTCCCCAACCGAAAACAAGCAAACTAGTGTGACGTCACACACCGCCGCGCCGCTGTCTGCGCAGCTCCCCTCTCCCCGGGAGGGGGAAGAGGGAGCACCAGACCCCCCACGCCGGCTACCCACACCTCAGTTCTTGAGGCTGATGCTATAGGCGATGGTCATGTGCTCTGGCTCCGGTGTCGCTACTGCACTGTGCTTTGCGTGTGGTGTTGCTTTTGTGGGTGCGAGAGCCAGGAGTTATCTTCAGTACTCGGGCTGCATGCGCCTAGGGTTGCCTTCCCTAGGTGCCCTGTAAGAACAGTGGTACCTCGGAATGCGATTGTCCCTGTATGCGAGGTTTTCGGAAGGCGAGCAGTATTTACTCCAAAAATTTGTCTCAGAAGGCGAGGGTTACTTCGGGACGCGAGTTTGTTGATACGCGTACAGGCCGACCTAGCGCGTGGTGGTTCGGCGATCGTCGCCCCTCCGCCCCGCCGCCCCTCAGTTTACCATTGTCTCGCGCTCAGTGACTACCCCCACATCAATTCTTCTCGCGGATTTTCAGTGTTTTGTTTGATTTTTGGTGATTTGTCTATACAATTTGTTATTATATATCTCACCATGGGTCCCAAGAAAGCCAGTGGTAAGGATAAAGGCCAGAAAGCTCATGTGAGGATGACAATAGAGGAGAAACAAGAGATCATTCGGAAGCATGAGAACGGTACACGTGTTGTTGAACTTTGTAGGCAGTACAACAAAGCCACATCAACAATATGCACTATACTTAAGAAGAAAAATAAGATTATAGGTGCTAAAGTGGCAAAAGGAGTAAGAACATTAACGGCACAAAGACCACAAATACTTGAAGAAGTGGAAAAGTTGTTATTAATTTGGATACACGACAAGGAGTTGAGGGGTGATAGTGTTTCGGAGGCCATTATTTGTGAGAAAGCCAGGGTGTTGCACGAAGACCTTCTAAAGAATACCCCTGCAACGAGTGATGCAGATAAGAAAGAGTTTAAGGCAAGCAGGGGCTGGTTTGAAAAATTTAGAAAGAGAAGTGGTATCCATAGTGTTACAAGGCATGGGGTTATGTGATGTGATTATGGAAGGGGACTCCCCTTCCAAACAGTAACTCCTCTCCTCCTCCCCCCTCCTCACCATCTTCCATACGCCTACAGCACTCGACAGCAAGGTAAGTAATAACTGGAACACAGTTTTGTAGGTTTATTTAGATGAATTAGGTAAATTAGGTATAAAAATTTAGTTTGATGTGGGGTTTTTGGGGTAGTCAGGAACGGATTAATTCATTTCCCTTTATTTCTTATGGGGAAATTAACTTCGGAATGCGAGTTTTCGGAAGGCGAGGCGTCTCCAGGAACGGATTAAACTCGTATTCTGAGGTATGCCTGTACTGCCCTTGGGGCTTGGGGCCACCTTCCACAGACTCCTCGGGGTCTGCCTCTGCTGGTCCGTTTTTACCTTTCGGTTTTTCGGCCGCCTGTTGGGCTTGGGCTCTTGGGTGTTCTGTTCTCCCTTGTTACCGGCAGGTAAGAGGCAGTTTGCACTGGTAGGGGTGCAGGGTGCTGCTCAGCTTGTATTCCCGACATCGCGGCCGGCTCTGTTCCTTGGGGTTCGCTGTCCTCTTGCGGGGTTTTGTTTTTGCCTGGTGGGGGGTTCTGTCATTTTATTCAGTTTGTTTTTGCCCTTCCACTGTTCTCCTCGGTGGCGCCCCCTGCTAGGTCCCCGTGAGTGTACACGTCCCTGGGGTTCAGCTATAGAAGTTTGCTTGGTAGTTTTGGGTGCCGGTTTGCAGCACCCTGCCTGGGACTACTTGAGCGCGAGTCCTCTTAAAGTAAACGCTCAGGACCCTGGGAATCCCCTAGGGGGCGCGTGGGTCCGATGGATGTGACCCCGGAGTCCCCACTCGCTGTGTGCGAGTTTGAGGGTTGCTTGGTCCCCTTGTCTCAGGGTGACCCTCATTGTTTTTGCCTCTGCCACGCTGCCTGTTGGGTCGGTGATACTTTCGACCCTAAGTCCTGTGAGTGTTGCTGCTTGCTTGTGACTCAATTTACCCAATCCTCTGATGATTCTATTCGGGTACAGGCGGCGCGTGCGTTGCAGTCTAGGTTTCGTCTGTTGCAACGCGCTCGGTTGGTTGCTCACCCGGATGCCCCAGGGCTGCCCCGCTTTGCTTTTCGAGACCCGGACTTGCGGGTGGGGGTCGCTTCGATCCTGGTTCAGTCCGCACCTCCTCGTCCTTCCCCTTCTGTTTGTTCTGGTCCCCCCCCCCCCCCTGCTTCCGGCCCCGAGCCGTCTGTGGGTTTCAGGGTCGGAGCAGGGGTTACTTGATCTCGAGACTCGGGCAGCTTTGGGGGGTGCCCCTTCCGGGGGGGGCGGCAGAGGCATTCGAGTCTTGTCTCCCGGCCAAAGCTTCTGGGTCTGACCAGTGGGCCCCCCTTCCTCCAGCTTTTCCGGCTGCCCCGTCCTTGTCTTGTGGGGTCGGGGCTTGGGGAGAGGACTCGGCCTCGGGTCCTGTGGTGAAGGACCTCAAGGCTGGGGAGGGGCTGACTTGGGGGCCTTGGGCCCCGCTGGACCCCGCCTGGGTTTTTCTTCCCTCTGAGTGGGGCTTATTGTTATAAGGAGTGGGGTTTTCTTTTCCCCCCTCTGCGTACGAGTTTGATTTGGTGTCGGCCCCTCCCCGGGTTCGGTTCCGTGTTCCCCCGGGTACGTCGGTTCCGTCCTTCCGGAGGTTTTCGGC